GTACTTTTTACTTTTATAATAAGTATGTATTATTTTTGTAACAGAAAAAAATAAACTCATTCTATAACATTTGGATTTTTAAAAAATTATAAGAAACAGAAAAAAAGAGAAATGAATTCCTTATCACACAGAGGCATTAAAGTGTCAACACTTTTCTTATCAGTCCTGTTAATGCATTTTTAACACATCTGCGATCTTATTTAACATAATTTGGGGATTATCTTTCAATTAAGATAATACTGTATTTTCCCTATAGAAATCTCAGAGAATAAAGAGAGACAAGAGAATAAAAAGCACATGTATTCCCATCACCTGGAGATAATTGCTTAAGATCTCATGAAATTCAAGTGCACAGAATTGGATTATGAGTAATCCAACACACTGTCACGGAACATGCACACTCTCTCACTGAACAACTGATAGTGTTGCCCACAAACTTGTTCCTTTATTTAATTTTCATAATAATCATACAAGCATTAAATAGTCAATGTTTTTAATTATGTAATGAATACCCACCCACCCATCCAACCTGAACACTAGTATACTGCCAATAACTTCCATCCACTGCTGTGGTCTTCTCCTACCCCTTTTCCTCAGCCCCAGTGACCATTATCCTGAATTTTTGATTGCTGTTCCTTTGCTTCTTAATAAAATATTTTTAATCCCAAATATATATGTACATTTAAATAATACAGCTTTTAGTTTTACTTGTTTTTGAATAACATACAAAGAATAGTCTCTTACATGTAGTCTTCCGGGACTTGGTATCTTAATTTAACATGATAGAAGTAAAATTTACCCATATTATTATTATGTGTAGCTGCAGAGCATTCATTTCACTGCTGTATAATATCCCATTCTGTAAACATATCACAATCGATTCATTTTCCTTTTGGGACTTCTGCTACCAATATTTTAGTGTATATTCTATTGGTCATTTTTTTGAAGACATTAATATAGTTTTCTTTCTACAAAATTTGAATATTATATTTTCATGTGAGCTGTTTCTCTCACTACTGAGACCTTGTGAACATATTCCCATTTCGGTAAATATTCCTCTGTGGTATAAATTTAAAAGACTGCATAATATCTCATCATATCATTGCAATACAAGTCTATTTAACAATCCACAATTGTTAGACATCTGATCGCTTATAATTTTTTTTGCTGTGATAAGCATTATGGATGCACATATTCTTTGGCTCATAAACTCTCCTTTTAATAATTTATCCTAAGTAATATCTGAATATATTTGCATATAATCACATACAGGGCCACCATGAGGGATGACAAAGTTTTTGTTCTGCACAACAGTGTACGTGCTCATCACAGCAGTTTTTATAATACAAGAAAAACTGGAAATAATTTAATGCCCACCAATAAGACAAAGTGAATAATTTATGTATTAAAGTTATAATATAAGGGGGAGGGTATAGCTCAAGCGGTAGAGCGCATGCTTAGCATGCACAAGGTCTGGGGTTCAATCCTCAGTACCTCCTCCAAATATAAATAAATAAACCCAATTACCTCCCCTTCATAAAAAAAAAGAAAAAAATTTTAAAAATATATTTTTTTAAAAAAAATTAAGGTATAATATAGATGCACTCTTACTGACAGAAAGAGATGTCTACAGGGTTTATTGTTAAGTGAAAAAATAGGTTAAAAGGCAGTATAATTCCATTTTGTAAAAGAAAATAAACACACTTCTGAAACAGTATGGAAGAGCATACACCAAAAACCCTACAGCAATTATCTGAGTACTGAGTTTGAGATTTTAATTTTTTAACTTTGCTTTCTTAGATTTTGAACTGTTTTCAACAGTAAAACTTGATTACATGTATAATAAAAAGATGAATAAACAATGAATGTTTATGAACAATCTTTTAAATATTTTTTCCTGAATGTAAAATACTTTCACACCGTAAGAACTTTGGAAGAAAATAAGAACATAAAGAAGTAAACAAAAACCACACATAATCCTACCAATTAATTCACAATCTCCAATGTATTTATTTGTAGTCATTTATCTCTGATTATATATACTTAAAACAATTGCAGTCATACTTTATATAATCTTATATGCTGATTTCTCATTTAACATTGTATAATATGACCATATCATAAATAATTTAATGGAGGAATATTCTATCACATGGAAATAGCATGTTGATTTAATCATGCCCTTAAAATCAGACCTTTAGGTTTTTCTGTTTTTCACTATACCAAATAACTATGTGAGGAATATCTTTGTGCATGAATTACCCACATTTTAGATAATTTCCTTGAGTCAATTCATTGAACTGAAAATACTAAATCAAAGAATACCAACATTTTCATATCCCTTGATATATATTGCCAAAACTATACTTACTATACATTTTAAGGTGTCACGGAGTAGTAGGAAAAAAAATCAGAATATGTTAATCCCATGCCCATCTGTAGTACTTGCTGTTTAACCTCTAATTAGGTAAAACTCATATAAAAAACATCTATCCTGTGTTAGTCACAAGGTTATTTTGATAATCAAATGAGAAAATAGCTCCTTAGGTCACCATAAATATTACTTCCTCAGAAATGCTTGCCTTGACTTTCCAGACTCTTACAGCATCCTATACTTACTTTTCCTTCATGGCCTTACAACAACTAATAAATAATGATTCAATTATTTGTACATTGTCTGTTTCCCTCAAATGATTTTAAGCTCCATTAAAATATACCTGGCACACAGCTGACACTCAATAAATATTTGTTGAATGAAAAGAATGAATGAATGAATGAAGTGACAGCACTTTGTAAACTAAATCATTAGACATTTGGAAGATATTTCAATTATTATTATTATTCATAATTTGTATTATAATATAGATGATTCTAGGTCTTTAAGTTATTTTTCCCTAATCACTAGTAAACTTAATGCTTGTCATGCTAACCAGAGGCACAGGTAGAAACAATCCTGGAAGCACCTGGTAGGAGCTGAGACTTGGAGAACCAAGTAGTTAGTTCTCTAGGTTAGCATGCTGTGAGTTAAACAGTTATAGTTACCAGTGGTCGGACACAAGGCAGTGGTCAGGAATCCAGGAGGTCAGTGATATTTGAAGAAGCAGGTGGATCCTGGAGGTCAGAAACAAACTAATGGTAAATGGTCTAGATAGTAAGGTACAAGCTGGAGGATGGTCAGTGATCAGGGATTAAAGCAGATGGGAGAGTTAAATTCCAGGCATCAGTACTCAAAGCATAGAGCTATGAATATGACTCTAAAGCAAAGGGTACTTGAATTCAGTGCTCCCTTATATTATTTCTATCCAAACTGAAAATGATATCAGGAAGTGTCTGTGCCTAGTTCCATAGATATGAGCAAGGAAATGGTAGTAGCTAGTTGAGGAATGAGATCTGTGAACACAAATAAGTTCTGATAAATGACAGGATAAAGTGAGACCATTGATATATATGATCTTAAAATACTTTACACATAAAATGGGAGCAATCAAGCTTCAGATCCTGTAATTCCCATCTTGATTTTTAACAGCACATATTATGGCATAATGGATAGCGTCATGGACTCTGGAGACAGGCTAGCTGGGTTCAAATCCTAGCACTGTACTTTAGTGCTTGTGTCCTTTGGACAAGTTACTTCACCTCTGTGTGCCAGTTTCCTTATCTGTAAAACAGGGATGATAGTACCTACCTTAATGGGTTCTTGTGAAGATTAAATGAGCTGATGCATGTAAGGACCTTAGAACAGTGCCTGGACGTAGCAAATGCTATGTTAATGTTATTATTATTATTATTATCATCATCATCATCATCATCATCATTATTACTTACGTCACATAAGACCAAACAACAAAAATTGATGTTACAAAAAATAAATACACTGTATGTTAATTTTATCTAAAATAATACAGTCTCTAAACAAATATTTTTCTCATTAAAATAAGAATTTCACTTGTAACTAAACAGAGTTGACTGTATAAAAAATATAAGCATTAGCAAATTAGCAAAATTTATCACAGCAATCCCATCTGTGTGTTTATAGAAGCTGTTTTATGAACACTATCTTTAAAAGTTGTAAAGAATAAATATACATTTCCTAGTAGCAAAAAACACTATTAAGCTGCAGTACAGTTGATCCATAAGATCTAGTCTATAAGAAGGAATGCCCTATTCAATTTTTTGAAGCTAATTCTACCAGAAGCAGGAATTTTTGAGTTGGAAGACTTGTCTGTGGAGAAATCTGAACATGGAAATGCTCAGACTTGGGAAGACTAATCTTGAAAAAGTCTGGACCTGGGGAAAGGGCAGAAGACCTGGACTATGGAACATGTTAAAAATACCTGGATATCGTAGACACTGGAAGACCTGAATGTTAGAAGGCCGGTACACTGGAGACGTTGGAAGACGTGGATATTGAGCCTGCTGTTGGAAGACTGAGTATTTGTCGGAAGACATGGAGGTGCTGGAAGACGTGGAGATGCTGGAAGACATGGAAATGCTGGAAGACAAGAAGACGCTGGAAGCCCTGGAGATGCTGGAAGACTTGGAGGTGTAGGAAGACATGGATTTTCTGGAAGACGTGGCTTTGTTGGAAGACGTAGATTTT